ATGTTATATATGTATAAATGTATTTACAAAAAAAGTATGAAAGTTTTATGTCAGTCAATCTAGCTTTCATAGTACAAGGACTGCTTAGTTTGAAATTCTATGGCGTTGTGTGTCATATGTCCAAAAATATATATTATTATTATTTATTTTAAATTAAATATCTCGCGCTTTTTCGGCTTTATTTCATAAAATGACTCCCACATATTGCCAGCAAGCGCGAGGAAAGGTGTGTAAAACACCTTTATAAATAAAACATAACGGTTATGAATGGTTGTAAGTGCATTATATAACAACCTATCTAAACTCTTTGTAACAGAGTTTTATTTTATTTATTTTATAAGCTAAAATTTACGCACATCCTTTAATAAATTTCTTCACAAAACTGTAAAGAGCTACGGCCAGCTTCGTACCTTCCACAATATCCAAACTCCCATTACCTTTTCACTGCACTTCCAAGCTCCGCCGTTCGCCAGCTAATGACCGACCCCAATATTTTAGCCCACCGCTCACCGTCCGCTTCCGAACTCGCAATTTTAGTGGCCTTTAATAAATTGTGCTTGAAACTTGTAATATTTGAAGATATTAATTTCCTGTCAGTAACCTGGCTGCTAAATTAAGGCCTGTATAATTTAAGAGGCGTCGTAAGTTAGGAATTCGTTAGTTTATATTTAAATGATGACGTGACGATGTGGGTCAAGATTTTGACCTTGGCCAATCCATACAAGAAGTTGCATTGTATTATTTAAGTGATATTTAAATTATACGCTCTTTAAATATCATATTATTCATCAAAACATTCTCGTACCATTCAATTTTCTTTAATCTTTCTGGGTACTGTACACAACACAATACATTTTCATGCAAGACACTGTACAATAAAAAAAAAACAATTCGCTGTAATAGAAAGTGGGGATACAAGTATCGGAAACAGATTGGATAATTTCCATATTAATCTATTAGATGGGTGAACCGGACGCGTTCATGGCGAGACGCTTCAGTACTGCAGGTTGCAAATGCTAGTAAACGCGAATCGTTCACAAATCCTTTGCTTCGGGCTATGAAGCTTTAGAAATAGCGACTTATTAACATTATATTTTACCAATTTTGAACGTCATCATCATCAGCCTATCGCAGTTCACTGCTGGACATGGGCCTCTCCACTTTTTGAACGTAACAATACAAAAATAAATATGCGTTTCGCAAAATAGACCTGAGATATTAAGAACAAAAAAATAACAGTAATTTGCAAGAAATTTCTGTAATGAGAACTCATACTATTTTAGTGATGATAATATACCTTTGTTTTTAGTATTTTTTTACCAAAAACATTTTCCCTGAGGCGTTACCTCAGAATTCATGATTACTCGTAACACGAACACCAATATTTTTCTCATTAATCCTTAGTTAATGTTACGAATCAGTGGGTGCCCAGTGTTTGATTTAATATGATTCCCGCTCCCTTGGGGAAATAGCAAAATAATTCTTAACCGTCATCGGTTTTTTTACAAAGGATAGCTTAAACTTCATAGCAATATATAATCAAGATTACATTAGATTACAAGACACATATTTGTTATAGAAAATAACTCCTCCTGCAGTAGAGGAGGTCTGGCGCTTGGATATACCGCGTTTATATAAGATTTGTGACGGATTAAGAATACGGAATGTCACTACCCCAATTCATCCCGTGGGTGTCGTAAGAGCCGACTAAGGGCGCAAAACAACGCAAGACAACAGAGAAGGAAAACTTGAAACAAACTCTATACCAACCCTTCTGGCTAGCGTCCTTTCTAAGGAGAGGCCTATGTCCAGCAGTGGACTATTTAAGGCTGTTGATGATGATGATGATGATATAAGATTTGAAACTTGGCTAAACATTTCCTAATCGCTTTAAATGAAAAATCATAATGACATAGAACGATCTTTACACAACTGAAATAAAAAATAAACCTCTTCGATATATTTTTAATAACGGATGTCATCCCTCAGCTTCGAATTATGATGTTAATACAACAGTAGCAATCTTCAGCCACTTAGATTTGTTTACAGTTTCTCAGGTTACGTTGGTAATTATTACTGATAGACCTAGTTCTCCGCTGAGTTCAGGGCCCGTCAGCACAAGCGTCGATTTGTCGCTTTTGCAATCATTGAGAATGGCATCGACCTGTAGTTGCACCGCCTCACTTGTGCCGCAACTCAATTCAACATATTCTGTTTAGTCCATTTTTTAAGATATCAAATATGAAAAATACCATATTCTTGTAAATTTTGAACGTTCTTTTATTGTTCTATTGTATTCTTAAGTAATCTCAATGAGAAGAATACTAATATACACCAAAATGATGAATTATTTCTGAATACGTTGCCAAGGCTTGTAACACTTGCCACAAAAGTCTATGTAATGTCTTACTTTCAGTCATAATTTACAACACTACATTTTCTCGAGATAATCCGTTGATCACAACAGCCAAAGCCAGCTTTTGGCTATCTTACAAGATTGCTTTTAATGTACCCTTTAAAGAAGTTTTCTTTTCACTGCGTCGACTTTAAAGCTTAGTATTTCACAATTTCATGAAACTACAGACATTAATATTTAATGTTAATTTGAACTTGACACCTTCACAGACAGACACACAGACACACAGACGCACAACAAACTGATCCTATATATTTGTCTTAATTTGTATAAATCTTATTTAATCATATGTGCCCTAGATTATTACTTGGCGCCAACGATTTCTTTAATTGTTAAACATTGACGATAATTTATGAAACGTTACATTTTTATTAAGAATGAGCATAGGTAATCATGATTACAACAGGTAACTTCGTATGTATAAATTAAAAAAAAATGAAAAAAAAATGCGATAGCTATGTATGTTTTTCTAATATAATTTCCAAATGTTTAAGCCCTATGACAAGAAATCGACCAAACAAACCTCCTTTACAATATGTGCTTCAGTTCGGAGTGTCGTTTGAAATAGGCCTCCTCCAACTGCCTCCATTTTTTACTGTCTGCACAGACCCTTGTCCAGTGTGGTCCCAGAGTTAGAAGTCGTCTTCCCATTTTTTTGTTGGGCAACTAGGTATTCTGCTGCCATTCTTAGGGTACCACAGGATTACCAGTTGCCTCCATTTATCCTTATCCTGATTTAAGTGGTCAATTCGAGTGTGGATTTCGGTGATAATAACTTGTAGCAGCTGTTTTATTAATATTAATAGTAAATAAGCTTAAATTTGGCTGTAAAAATAAGAAAACAGAGCTTACCTAGACATCATAAAAATGTCCGCAATTAATTAGTAAACATTTTGTAGTCTATAAAATATTATCTTCCCTAAAGGTCAACTCACATTCTTGACTATTCTAGATAATTGTTATTATCAAAATTTTATTCTTTTTGTTTTTGTTTTGTGAATTTGGATTGACATTCAGCACTTCCTAAAAAGACTAAAGCCATTCTAACAAATGTTTCGTTTGTTCGCAAAGGTTAACAAGAATGATAATAACGGGTGTGACTCATGTTGCAAATAGTCTTTGATCACAGTGCTTTTTAGCCGTAGCCTAGAGATTGAATCTAGCAATTGATGCTGAAAATAAATCAATAAAATTTGGTTGAATGATTGTAAAATATATTTTTATTAAAATATGATGATGTCCGTGTGGTGATGGATTAAGGATACGGTGTGTCACCCTATTCATCCCAAGACTGCGTTGTTATCAAAAAGAGCCGACTAAGGAAGAAAACTCTGTGGGATATCAGCACTTCAAAGAGAAGGAAAACCTGAAACTACCCCTTTACCAACCTTGGGATATGTCTATTTTTCTTTATAAAGACAACTGCCGCATTGGGAATATATCCTGTGTCGCGGGGGACTTTACAAACAAACATGAAACGGACACAAATAACACCCAGACTCAGAACAACAATTTGTGGATCACAGAAAGTGTCGTCCCATGTGGAGATCGAAACCACAACACACAGTGTAGTAGAAAGCGGCGATGCGACCGCTCAAACCACTACGCCATCCGTGCAGTCAATAAATAGTAAACAGAGAACACTGGCCTAATATAGTAACATGTTACTGAAACAGTTCAGACAATCGTCATTTATTTAAACAACAGCATTGCTATTTCAGGTTGTTTTCAATTAGAGGACTAAAATACTCGTTTCCTATGAAAATAAACTTAAATTGAATTCTCGATTACTTTAATTAGTGCAGAAGTTAGTGAGATGCTTGAATGATTGAACCAAAATGTTGGTGCGAGCCTATATATATGTAGTTCAGAGCTGGCTTACAAAATGTATTATTACAATTATGGAATCATCACGACTCATGGGTTAATGTAAACACTAAGCACTTACCAATGACAGTATTGAGTACCACTGGCGAGGAGTACTGCTCCGTTGCAGAAGCGGCAACACCACGCTACATTTAGTATTGATCCTGGTGCCAGCGGCGCCGTCACGAAAATTACAAACATGCTACAACCTCGTAACAGTAGCTCGTCTAATTTGGAATAAATCAACTTGTAAATTAATTAATCTGTATATTTGTTTGTTTTCAAAATTTAAACATGTTCAACACTTACGTTGAGCGTGTTTAAATTTTGAAAACAAACAATTATACTGATTAATGTGGGGTTTGATCCCAGAACACTCGGCGTAGTAGGAAGCGGCGTGGCTACCGCTTAAACCACTACGCCATCCGTGCAGTCAAGCATGTGTACATTTCGATACTAATTTCAACACAAGTTGTGGTTAATTTCAAGTACAGATAACGATGTGTAATAATTGCCAAGAATATTTTTATTCCTCGACAATTTATGACCTCGACTTGACAGGTCGTAGGTGGGGAGTGAAGATGAGCACCGTCCTCAGCAGCCTGCGACAACTTGCAGCATTAGATAGACTATCGGCTATTACCGTGGCGACCACTCGCCACGTGCGCGCGCCTTTCGAATTCGCGTCCACGAACTGTTTAGTGTAAGTGTATTTACTATGAGGAATGTGCGCGGGAGAATGCTCGCGGTAGCGTTCTGCCTCCTAGGTGAGTACCCAGTGCAGCAGTGTTAGAGTTACTCAAAGTTTAAGTAAATCTTTCGAACTTGTTTATATATAGCCTGTAATTTAAACAATATAAGAAGTTAGACGCCGACAATTACGCTTTTTTAAACAATCCTTAGTTGTTTGCTGCCTAGTTAGGTGTTGTTAGTTAAGGGTAGGATATGTTTTAAATGGGTAAGAAGTATAAAATAGTTACAAATAGCTTCCTTAATACATAATTATGTTTTAATTTAGTTAATATATGATATTATCGCGCTAATTGAATTGATTTGATTAACGTTTTGACCAGGTTGCACTGGGCGTGGTCACAGCCTGTCAATTTAAAGGGGATCCTTTCTTTTCGCGTAATGTTTTTTTTTCTAATATGCTTTGGCATAAGTTTTTTTTTGGCAAACAGTTTATGTTGACATAATTATTTTTTAGGCATATTTTTAATTCCCATAATGTTACTGGGCATAATTGCTATTAGCTTAATGGTATTTGGGCATAAAAATCAGTAGGAACGAAATTTGCACTAATAGGTTAGAGGGCTAAATTGCTTGTGTTAGTAGTGGGTGCACGTCGGTAGGGTACTGGTCAGGATTCGAGCCCACGACGTGTTTAAATTTTTCAAGTCCAATGCTTTAACCACTAGGCTACCGCTGCTTTAATATGTTACATACATCTAAAAACGCATAATAATGAAGTCCTAAAACATTAGACACTAGGTCCAATGTTTTAGGACTTCATTCTCATGCGTATTTCTTATGACTATAACATTTTGTTCTAATTATTATTATGCGCGAATAAATTTATGCGTTAGAATGTTATGCTTAAACATTGTTATCATTAGTGAAATTATGCTTAAAAAAATTATGCCTGTATTGTTATATTATGTCTTAAAACTTTATACGAATGGATATAGAACCATTTTAATTTAAAGGTATGTACTTAATACCTATTCCTGAGAGCGTTAATGCCCATAAATATAATTATCTATTATGCAACGTAATAGTTTGAAAGTGAGCAATCATTTACAGCTGAAGAGTTTATAACTGGGCAATCATTTACAGACATTTAAATCAGAATTAGAACATTGTGATTAATAAGCCAAGATACAATGCTTAGCAAAAATCATTGTTAAAAAGTATCTAACTTATCTATGATTGTCACTGATATTTGATTAATATTATTAGTAGTATTATTAACTTTGTTGATTTTAATTATACCTTATTCATACCACTAATATGTTTAGAATATATGGGCAAAATAATATCGCGTGTATAAACGACTTGAATCCGGTTAATCTGGAAAGTCCCATATGTAATGTCACTACGGCGGTTTCCAGTTTCCATAAAGCTTTTAATATTACAAAGAAAAAACATGAAACAAAAACTAAAGTTTTCTGTGAATTATTATGATATCATCATCAACGGCCTTTATAATAGTCCACTGCTGGACATAGCGTCTCTTTAGAAAGGAGGTTTCGGTCTACTATACCACGCTGGCCAGACGGGTTGGTGTAGGGTTTGTGTCAAGTTTTCCTTCTATTTGTAGTGCTGTTGTCTTGCGTAGTTTGCTCCCTTAGTCGGCTCTTACGACGCCCACAGGATGAATAGGGGTGGTGAAACTCTGTATTCTTAATACGTAACCCCACAAACAATATTATATCATTACTTTATCATATATTATTATTTTTATTTAAAGTGTATTCATCTGTTTTCATTAATATTAAACTATTTACTGAGAATTATGATTGTATGTTCTAATGGTACTATGTTATTTTACATTAGTTTTATAATTGTAATATATGATATAATATAAAACTTATTGATATAACCTATATATAGAAAATAAGTTTACAGTTGTTATTTCAATGTCTTTGAACTCAGGCTGGTATCAGTAAACCAAGGTCATTATCTACAGCACAGATAATACAATAGAAAGGACAACTGAGTAAGCGACCACTTTATCGATTCATCGATATTTAATTATATCATATACATTTTAAGGTTTTATTTTGTATCGCCTTGTGTCGTTCAAATATGTTTTTGTCACTTTTGATTGAGCTCCAAGTCTAATAATTTGTCTTTGTTTTTGAAAAGCAGGTATCAATATTTTTATTTGGTTCTGGTGAATTTCGTTACCGGCTTTTAATGAATATATTAATTAATGAAACTTCTACACATTTTGTCTTTTTCTCTTATCTTAAGTTATATATTAACTGGTGACTTCAACATAATTGGAAATTAAATGTAGTTTAATTTATTTTCGTTCGATACAAATATTCCGTAGACATAATAATATACTTTTTACGTATGCCTTAACTCTTATTTTAAAAAAGACATGGGTTAGTAATTAAATGAAAACTAGGCGAAGCGCAGTAAAAAGAGATCTTCTTTCGGCTTTATTATCAGTCCATTTGGTCTGTGTGGTGACGGATTAAGAATAAAGAGTGTCACCACCCCTGTTCATCCCGTAGGTGTCGAAAGACCCGACTAAGGGAGGAAACTATGCAGAACAACAGCACTGTAGAGAGAAGAAAAACTTGACACAAACCCATATACCATCCCGTCAGGCCAGCGTGGTATAAAAGGCAGTGGACTATTAAAGGCTGTTAATGTGATCAGTCCATTATTACAAAGTTTAATGTGTGCATTCTTCAGAACTCACAAGACTTATAAGCTCAAACTAAATGAGATTACTGGCCCCCTCATCAGATCAGTCCCAAGATGCCAAATTATGCTAGTGTCATCCAAACTAAATACCGTTTTTTTCATTATATACTTAGTTAGTTACAAGTGAAGCTAATAAAAAGCCTATTAAAAATAAATATTCCTTGCACATTCTGCGTGTGTTACGTTGTGTGACATAACTCAATCAGAGCTCTTGCAGTGTGACATTTAATTATGTTCAAATAAATTTGCACAAGCTTCGAAATGATATTTAAGCTAAGGCTTTTATTATTTCTAACACGCAATGTATTTTATAAATCTTTGCAGATGTTTTTGTTACGAATGCTGATTGAAGTACCTTTTATAACAGATAGTTGTGTATAAGCGCATTTCTGTTTTTGTTACTATCTATACAAATAAATAAAATTGAAGTGTCTGTTTGTAATGTCAAATTAATAGTTTTTTTCATGCTCACACGATTATTTGCACGATACCTATGCCTAAAAACCAGTTTATTTTATTTGTCTGTCTGTTTGTTCGTTTAATTTTCTTAACGGCTGGTCTGATTTTGATATTTTACTACCAGGTAGCTATCTGTATAAGGGGTAACTTAAGCTATTTGACCTCTCAGAAAACCCCTTTAAAATTTTGCCTGGTTCGGGAATCAAACCAAAGTCGCGGGTACAAGCTAGACTTATAAAATTGATTACACAACTAGCATCGCTATTATCAGCAAGAGTGTAAGTTTAGAATGTTAGGTAAAAGTCTTATAATCTTATTATGTGGGTACATTATGTTTATAAAAACACCTTCACACAAATAATGCATTATTTTAGAACAAATTTGATTGCTATAAAAAAAGGTAAGATTTTTTTTTTGTCGCGGACTTTTTTAAGAACCTTTAAAGGGTAAAAATTCTGTCATACATGTTTTTACCAAACTTTGCAGCGCACGCAACGTTAGTTCTCAAAAAGAATAATTTTCCCCCGGTTTTGCAACCTTTTCCATTGATACTCCGCTCCTATTGGTGGTAGTTTAATGGTATATAGCCTATATTATTCCTCGAAAATGGGTTATCTAACACTGAAAGAGTTTTTCAAATCGAACCAGTAGTTCCTGTGATTAGCCAAACAAATAAAGAAATTCTTCAGCTTTATAATATTAGTATTGATATTTCCTTATGGCCATTTAGCATAATGTATACAACCTTTGGGCAATATATGCGTATTTGACCAGACTCTGAATAATTATGACAAGGTCAATTAAATGATGAGGCCTTTACCCATTGTTGATTATATTTGAAAGAATAGAAACGAGTACTTTCAGGGTTAAAATGTTCGACCATTTAATTGTTTGCTTAAATTTATTAGGGTTCCGTACTTAAAGGGTGCCAATGAAACCTTATTACTAAGTCGCCCCTGGCCCTTTGTCAGTTTTTTTTTAGATTCTATATTTTTATGATCGCTTATAATCATTATCATTTGCCTGCCTTGCCCGATTTTATTTGGAATCGGCGCAATGTGTAATATTGGAAAAGATTTTGGGTGGTTTGGTGATATCCTTTTATTAAATGTGGCCTAAACGAGAGATTCTACCCGAAGGTGGTCCCCGAGCTTTTGCGGGGAGGTGCTAGGAGGGGCCCGCATGTTCCAACAAAAGCTCTTCGAGGATCCCTAAAGTTTAAAGCGCAGTATGGTGCATCGTGTGGGTTAAGGCAATTCATGTGTTGGGCACCGCTCCGTCTTAAACCCCTGTTTGGAGGTCTTCTTGGGAATGTAATAAGTTTTAGGCGGGACAAAGAAAAATGATGAGTTAGGGAAATGAAAAGAAAGATAGAGTAAAAGATACCGCAAGTCTGGGATGGAACTTAGACTGCAGTAGTTGAAAGAAGATGTATGCCATTCTGTGGTGGAAAAATTCCGTTAGAATAGAATCATCAACCGGTATAATTCTCTTTCTCTTGTTTTTTTTTTAATTACAACTCCCGCACTAATATATCCTACGTAGCGAGGAACTTTACAGACATACATGAAACGGATACAAAGTACACTCACTAAACTCACAAAAACCATTTGTGAAAGTGTTGTCCCATTTGGGGATCTAACCCACAACGCTCAGCACAGTAGGAAGCGGCGACGTGACTGCTTAAACCACTATGTATTCTACGATAACTATAACAACAAATAATTATAATCTATGAAACAATTAAATGGCACTTAATACAAGAGACGAAATTATTTTGCCGATTTAATAAATCTTTTACAATAGAACGGAACCACGGAGGTGTGCGAGACCGGCTCGCATTTTATCGGTTAGTTAAGTTATTTGGCAGAGGTCAAGATTTGGCGGGTCCGAAGGCCACCCTATACATTGTTGTCTAACTAATATACCTCTACACAAGTTGTAATAGAGAGACGTGGGCAAATTATGGAGGCTGTAATAACTTCTGTTATAAAAGAAACCGTCAGAAAATGTTATTTGTGGTGTAAAAATAATGTTTTTTTATTTTTTATCGCAAAAATGTTAGAGTTCATGTTCATGTAATGTAATCAAATGGATCAAATTAATTAACCTGTCAAAGTACAATGAGCCATTAAAAGACGGGTCTTTTTAAATCTGTTGCTAACTCACATACTTATAAACAGGATACAAATGTGAAAATTGTGATGTTTGTATTATTACTTTGGCATTAGATTAACAACAAAAAAAAGTTAAAACAGGTTTTTAGAAATACTTGTTGTTCCTAAGTCACTTTGCGGCAATAAACATCAAACATTCTTCTTAAAACCACTACCTTCACCAAAGCTATTACACTTACAAATAGTATGTTGTAAAACGTATGGTTAAGCAACGTATAAATAAAGGCAACTATTAAATAATGCTTTGATAGAAAAAAATGACATCTAAGACCACGAATAAATATGTGTATAACATTTAAAATAACCAATAAAAAAATGTTGAAATTATCAAGTTTGCACTTGCTTTATCGTATAGGGAGCGATGCTGTCGCGGAAGTAACTAAAAAACTACATTTTTTCTACTTGCAGTCGTAATTTTTTACTTAGCTTATTTTAATGCTGATTGTACCACCACCTAATATTAAACTTTACTGAAAAATTAAAAATAGGCAATTTTATCTGTACCTACAGAGGGATTTAAAATCAAAAGGTCTTTTATTTGTCATCTTAGTATTTTCTTAGCTCACCAAAATTACAAGTGGGCGTTTATGACTTTTTCACACAAAAATAGCTAAAAGAATTCGGATAAAATTAGCCACAGAGACGATTTATTACCCGGATTAACACAAATGAAATTATATAAAAGTCGTAAACAAGACCTACGCAGTTAATTAAAACTCTAGAAAAACGCTTGAGTTTTATTTCACGTACTTGTAATATTTGTTTAATATATAGGTGCAGTCCACCTGATCTCAACAGCCTCCCTTAAGGAAAATGAACAACGCCACCGTCAACACCTTGATCCAGTGCACCACCAGCAACATCAAGAAACTCCTGTGCTGGACGTGCAGCGTCGTACACGTGGGGTCGAACAATGGCTCTCACTAATCTCCGGTAAGGATTTTTAACTTGACTAGTGTCAATTATTCATACATATAATAAATATAAAGTAAACATTTAACATTTTTACGTCTTTATAGTCCATTCGCGTTAAGAAAATAGTGACGCATTGTCATCGCATCTTGACCAATTAGGTTTTGTTTTATGTTAGAGGGGGCAGACGAGCAGACGGGTCACCTGATGGAAATCGCCCTCCATGAACGTCTGCAACTCAGGAGTCACAAACGCGTTGCTGCCTTTGAGAAAGGAGTACGCCCTTTTCTTGAAGGTTTGGAGGCCGTATCTCCTGTTAACCCGTTCCACAGATTGGTTGTGTGGGGCAAAAAGTGTCTCGAAAAGCGTACAGTAGTGGAGCGCCAACTATCCAAGTGATGGACATGAAAATTTTGCCGTGTGGAACGATGGCAGAAAGTTGCGGCTGGTATTAGTCCGAACAATTCCTCAAGGTTACAAGCTTTTGTACTAAACGATAACTTCTTGGAACTTGATTGGTCAGGACACAGGGCTTAGTAGATGCGTCACTATTTTCTTAACGCAAAAAGACTAGTTTGTTTTGATTTTGTTTTACACGAATAAGAATTCAAGCATAGTTGTAAACACAACAAATATAACACCAATATTAATGCTATTTTTAGGCATCCTATGAGTGACGTACGCTCAATGTTCAATACCGGCAAATGCCCTAAAGCTAAGATTATCCATTGAGAAGTTATCGCACCATTTTGGTTCAGCTTTCTGATATCCCATGCACAAATAACGAATGTGAACCTTAAACAAAGGCAGCGATCGTCTAAAAATACAATCTCTTTTCTCACGATGGCGACGGTCGTCTTTATTCCTGTCGTAATATTATACGTCATCCTTCCCACTTCAAACTGCCACAGGAAATAAAACTCTTTTAACAAAGCTGAACAAAATGTCCAACAACAAAAACTTTGGGGGTCATAACCCCATAAAGTTTTAATGAAATACCCTGCATGACTTCCCTGGAGATGACGAAAATATACAGGAATGGGGCAAATACTTTCATTAGTAAGTAGATAAATGTTTTCTTGTAGAAAAGGTTGTATGAATTTTTCAATTAACTGTGTATACGGGTACCAAAGTTTTTTTTTTTAATATTCTACTACATTCACAAAACGCCATCTAGTCCCAAAGTAAGTAGAGCTTGGACTATGGCTACAAGACAACTGATATAAATACGTATATACTTTTTTTTTGTAAATACATACATATTATAACTAGAAACACCCAGACCAGATCAAACATTAAATGTTCATGCACATAAAAAGACTTGACTGGAGGGGGAATTGAACCTGCGACCTTTGGAATAGCAGTCCGTTATACAAATCACTACGCCATTCGGTCGTCCCCTAAATCGTCACATCACTTCGATAATGATTAGTATATTTTTTAGACTATAGTAAAACCAATTATTTACTGGTCGCTGAAGAGATCTACTAGTCGTCTTCTAGTCACATCACCACATCAGCTTCAAGGAAAACAACAATCTATGTATAGTACTGTCATCCGAACTACGTATTTTAATATAACATTTATTTCGACACTATAATTTTTAAAAGTAAGTTAAAATTAACTTTCAAGATTTGTTAACATAGTTACAATTTAAGTTAATAAAAACGTATTAATATAGTTTATTTAAGTTGAAGAAACACATGTTAACTGCCTATGTTTTGTTATAGAAATAGCACGCGTTGGTGCAAAGAGCGAGCTCTCTCGCAGCGGGAACACTTTCAACAATATATTTTTACCATCCCCGATCAAGTTGGGTAAGTGATTCATCATTTTTTATGTCCTTTTAAAGAACCTCTGTAACCTGGCTCATCATCACCATCATCAACAGCATTTAATAATCCACTGCGGGACATAGGCCTCGCCTTTGAAAAGAGGTTTCTGCCTACTATATCATGCTTTTCAGGGTGGTTTTTGTCAAGTTTTCCTTTTCTTTGCAGTGCTGTTGTCTTGCGTAGTTTGCTTCCTCAGTCCAACACTGACGGGATGAATAGGGTTGGTGAAACTCAGTATTCTTAATCCATTGCTATACGCAAAGTAACCTAACTGAAGATGTGTAATAATATAAAATGAAAATTTGTTTACACGATTTGTTTACAGTTTGATGCGGATGCTACATACATAATACAGACGAAATTGGGTGCCACTAGAATGAAAAGTGTTACTCTGTTGCAGATGGACAAAATACCACGTTGCAGTTAGTACTGATCCCGGTGCCGGGGGTACCCTCACGTAAGTAAGACATAGTCTATTTCCTGATGTCACTGCTCGGGTCACCATTGTCCCATGAATTCTTGTCAGATCACGCCAATCTATACTGCTTTACTGCCTTATTATCAATATTCTTATTATTATTTCTTATAAAGTTATTATTATTATTCTGCTGCAGCTGGTTTGTTTTATTATAATTTAAAGAAAAACAAGATGGCTTTCAAAGATTTAGGTGTAGACATAAACTTAGAATCATGTAGAATAATATGGCTCATTAGTATACTATTTATAAAGCATCGAAGATTAAAGCACACAGCAGCTGGGACTGAAAAATAAATCGGCATGTGACACTCAGTCCTTACTCGTAATAATTTGTTTTTTGGTAGACCTTAGAGACGTTAAATCCATTACTCAATATTTGCATAAATACACACATACAAACAACACATTAACACGTTCACCTTGTTACAGAGTATAGGCAAAGTCTGCAATTCGATACCCTCGCACCCAACTTCGCATCGGTATTCACCACCCCCAACGTGTCCCCACCAAACATTGAGCAATCTGTAATTACTAGCAATGTCCACACCCCGTATTACATACCTCCGCAGTCTAGCACTCAAGATCCGAACCTCCGCGGTCCAACCTCTCACCACGTGTACCAGTCGACCTCTTCCCCAGGCCGCAAACCAACAACTCAGCCGCCACAGGTTGATAAGTATGAGGTGAACCAACTTCCAGTTGTCAATTTGAAGAAAACCCAAGAGAGTGTGTCAAATGATAAGCGCCGAGCACAAAATTCTCTTATCTTCTTACCAGTTGGTAAGCTACAATAATTATCGATATGTGTAAACATCAATTTAATAGAATATAATAATATAGTGACCATAAATGGCATATGCACCCTTAATAACTAATGCTGTAAGTTGCCACTTCATTTTCACTTCTGTTCACTCTCCAGAGGACTCGCAGCAACTACTTATGCAGTTCCGCGCTCAGCTGCCGAGAACACCTTCATGGCCACCCATCGTTATAGAGCCTTTGGTAGTCAATGCCACAGACGACGAGGTGGTGGAAGTGTCTGAAATAGGCGAAGAACAGCAGTCCACTTCCTCTAATGAAAACGGCCAATACGGACCCTCTGAATCGACGAAAAATTGTCGCAGCGCATGCCAGGAAAGCTCGAGCAATTACGGTACAGGACCTGACCCTGTTAGTGGAGAAGCACCCCCATCACCGCCACTACCACGCTTTGAGCGTTCCATAATGGTAGAAGCTGTTCTCTCCGTACCCAGAGCCGACTACTCCGAACCCTACACTCTCTGGTATGTTTTTACAAATACTCGAATACTGTATTTTTTACTAAAAAGATAATGCAATGAAAAATATCTCAGATTTTATGTTTTAATAGTAAGTATACAGCGACTTCCCATCACAGTCAAACACAAGAATAAGACTCAAGTAATAATTCAGTTGCGACATTATTACTTGAAGATATATACGAGTACATATATATTTTTTTATAATATATCTCACACATCTCACATACGGCCGTCTGATCTCAAACTAGGCAGAGCCTGTACTATGGTAACCAGACAGCTGATAAACATACTTATATATTTTTAAATAGATACGTATAAGAGATAAATTCACATCACACAATATTTGTCCTGGGTGGGAATCGCCCCACGACCATCGGTTTAGCAGTCAGGGTCACTAACAAGACCAACAGGCCCGTTGATTATAATGTAATAAGTAATTATAATGTGAAAATGTAAAAATGTGGATTAAAAACTGTTAAATATCTATATTTTAAGCATTACGAATGCAGAGTAATGCTAAGCACTACACTGTAAGTAACACATACCTACTCGTACCTTAGCGTTAACGAGGCAAATCGTGCCACGCTCGTGCCTAGCCTCAATTTGTTTTGTTACTTTTTTTAAGGTGACTAGTTATATTTTTCAGATTACAATCAAGGTTTCTTTGAACGACCACTATTAGTTCGAACAAATGTTAAAAATTAAGTAATAAATTACACTTAACATTTAACATAACATTTTGTAAATTATTTACTTTCAATAAAGCATCACCGACTTTAATATACCTACATCATGATGAGTTGTAATAAATTGTAGTCTTCATTTCCTTATTTGAATAAGCAAAATAAACAATAAATTTGAGAAATCGATTCTTAAATCATGTAGTTCTGAGTATAACATAAAACCTTCTCCTTTTCTGAAGTCGTATAATAAAAAAATACAATCGACTGCACGCATGGGGTAGTGGTTTAAGCGGTCGCCACGCCGCTTCCTACTACGCCGAGTGTTGTGGGTTCAAACCCCACATGGGACGACAATTTTTGTTCCGAGTCTGGGTGTTCTTTGTGTCCGTTTCATGTATGTTTGTAAAGTCCCCCGCGACACAGGATATTTTCCTAATGCGGGAGTTGTCTTTTAAAAAAAATAAAATAAAAAAAATAATCATAAAATATAATACAAACATATAACTCATCTAACACAATGTATTTATCAATCATTTCTAACCACTTCTAGTTTGAAACCTTGGCGGTATGCTAAAAATGTATATGTATATATAGAATAAGAAAAATTATTTTGTAACGTAACCTTTGCGAATTTTAGGTACATTCTTACCTTAAAGGAAATAATATTATTATTAAAAGATTTTAGCATTTTTTTTTAGATTTTTAGCATTTTTTTAAGAGAGTACTTTGCAAAGCCACTGGTACCAATCGCTCCTACGCTTGAATTGGAGCTGGGGTCGCCCGTAGGTTTGCTCGCTGCACGGCAGACGTTAAAGTGACTTTATTTAAAGCGTTCTGTCAGTCCTTCTATTCGAGCGGCCTGTGGGTGTCATATACAGAACGGGCCTACAACGTCCTGCGCGTACAGTATAACAACGTCTTCAGGATGTTGTTGCGACTGCCGCGGCATTGTAGTGCATCGGGCATGTTTGCCGAAACACGCACCGACGGGTTTCATGCTCTCATGCGTAAAAAATCGGCTTCCATGCTAAAGCGCTTGCGAAATACCCGGAACAGCGTCCTGAAGATGATTGCTAGTAGGCCAGACTGTCCTATACAAAGGCATTGGGTGGCAATAGCAATAGGAAAGCATAGTTGAATGCCTTTCTACTATTAAGTGCCGTTACTAACAATACTAATATAGACGTTAAGTACTTTCTGTTTCTAACCCATTACTAAACAACCTATGGACTGTATATGTCTGAAATAAAATTATTATTATTATTATTATTATTAATGCCTTCATTCATCTATTTACTTAAAAATAATTTTGTGCGGTTAGGCATCTTAAGTTTACTTCTTTTTCTAATTCCCTATTGCCCTAAGCGTCTTGTTAAAGTCAGGTCTTGTAAAATAAAATGTAAAAAGTTCATAGTGTCATAGACATCGAATGAAAACTTAATGGGAAATATTTTTTTTATGAAAATAACGAGCACACTAGACAGTAACAATAATTCATTAATATTTAATACTAGCTGACCCGCGCAACTTCGTCTGCGTCTCTCAATAGTAATACATTTTTCCGTTTTTGAAACATTCTTCATTGGTGCTCCGCTCCTATTGGTCTTAGCGTGATGAAATATAGCCTATAGTCTTCCTCGATAAATGGGCTATCTAACACTGAAATAATTTTTCAAATCGAACCAGTAGTTCCTGAGATTAGCGCGTTCAAACAAACAAACAAACAAACTCTTCAGCTTTATAATATTAGTATAGATTCTACCACATTCACACAACGCCATCTAGTCTCAAACTAAGCAGAGCTTGTACTATGGGTACTAGACAACATATATAAATAAATACATAAATACTTTTTTTTTGTAAATACATACATATTTTAAATAGAAACACCCAGACCAGATCAAACATTAAATGTTCATGCACACAAATGTTTGACTTAAGCGGGAATCGAACCCGTGACCCTTGGACTAGCAGTCTGTTACACAAACCACTACGCTGACCGGTCGTCAATATACTCAGTTATACTTAGTTGCTATTTAATTTCATATATAGCAAGTTATTGGTAGTACGGTCCTTAATAGCCTCAATAAATGGGCTATCCAACACTAAAGCTGGGCTATCAAATTCTAGCCAATAGTTCCTGAGATTAACGCGTTCAACCAAACAACCATACTCTTCAGCTTGATAACATATTATTAATATAGATGATTTTACTAGGTATGCAGCTTTAAATATGTAATGGTTTTTACATATGTATTGGTGTGCCGCACACTGAGTGACAATAAATTATATTGTTAACTATTTTGATGACCATAAAGATGGTTCGACATCCACGATAGTCTGAGTATGGAATATTACATGACACTATAAAAATAGCAAAATATTACATGACATTACAAAAATAGCAAACTATCCTTGGCGTTACCGCGTTAGTCATTTGGCAATTTTTTATTGTGTTTAGCGGCGCGCATGCCACAGAGCCTACACTGACTAATCACTGATTTATTTACCTCATCAATAAAATTTTATGACTGCCTGACTCCAGTTATAAAGTTTATCATATTCAATTAATTTACCTCATTTTTCTAATTTTTTATATATGCAGGTGGGATGCGGCGAGTGGTGCATCCCGTATTGAACACCACGGAGGTACAGCGTCCAGTTACCGCATCATGCATCTCGACGGGCACGTGCAGTCTGTGCACGTGAGTAACATCTTCTTGACTGATCTCGACACAGATAGAGTAATGCCATTGACCACAACGATTTTTTTTTAAACTTCTTTTTTTAAATATAAATTCCTAGGCTGATCGGCAGTTCACAGATGGCTCTAAACTTAAAAAGGATTACAAGCTTTTTATTGGTGTTGCTAAAAACTTTCCTTCGACTAATTACAACCAAGTTTATGAGATAGTTATATATCGTTAACATATCGTTTTCATAAATGTCAGACCGTAACTGGTTTAAAAAGGTTGCGAACAGGAGAGGGCTAGCACTCTCCCATTTAGATAAAGAAGCATGAGGTGCTCGAAAAGGCAGAATGGTCTCCGACCTGCATGAGCGCTGTCCTGAAGTACACACCAGTTTTTAGTTAACCCGGTGCAGTGTTGACTTGTAGTGTTTCCGCATGACAAAAAAGTTAAAACTAGTTAAAGCCAGTCTTAATAGTCATAAAGAATCAAGAACCTAATGCTTTTGTGTACAGGTACGTCTTGACCGAACGGGTGAGTCAGATGTACGACGCTGTACACTCTTGGAGCCACGCCGCGTTACGCTAGCCGAGCGGGCAATACCCGTGTTACCTGATATCTCAGGATTCAAGTTTGCCGGTAAGATATACAAGACCTACTGTAAATAGATATTCATTTCACATTTTTTGTGTCTTCCGTAGGACACCGCGTTCGCTTGAGTTTTGACCTAACTCTTACTTAATTTAGTTTATAAGTGTCAGAAATGACAGAAACATAACTGTTTTTAAATTTCGATAGACTGGACTAAAGTTACAAAAACTACAATGTAATTAAGGCTTAAGTGTGCACTCTAAATTATTTAAATCTTGAACAACTTTGCTAAAAAAAGGCGGTAAAACAAACGTTAATGTTCAGGGTACATCGAGGTGAAGTCAATCCCAAAAGTGATGCTATCACGTGTGGAGCGTTGGGTTAACATCGTGAGTGCACCGGCCGGAGCAAGTGGAGCGTCACGCGGGGAGGTGCTTACCTATCGTCACGAGCTTCTTGTAGCAAGAGCTCAAGATAACCTGACCACCACGCCACTCCGGTACGCCGTAGCTGTTGATAGCTCCGTACTCGGCGTAAATTGCGACTCATATATACACCGCTTCTTGAAAGTTTACACTCGTAATCACGACTCTTCCACATTTAGCTTCGATATAGGTAAGTGTACGATAATTTCTGATCTACATTACACAGCTACACTGATACAACCCGACGCCTTGATTTGTTGTTTTAGCTGACGCGTGTGATCACCTTAAAAAAATTGATGAGATGGAATTAGTGGAACCCTTTCGAGAGTTTACGAAGCTACAGCGAGATCCAAAATATGATGACATGCTTACTAGGTGAGCTTGAATGTTTTCATCTATACCTGTCTTGAAATTTTCTTTGATATTTATATGTTATATCCTGTCCAGGTTCAAGAGGCAAAACAACCGTCAGTATGCAGACGATTTAGAAGAAACGATTCGCAAAAATATTCTAATACAAAGCTCGCGGTTCATGTCCTCTGGTAATCGAAAGGGTTCCAGTTTAGAACTGGGGATGAACTTCCTGGCAGATCGCTTGAGAGATGAAATGAAGCCATTGTATGGCATTGATCCCTCTGTCTCTTCCGATGGCGATATGTTTCCTCATAGCAAAGAAGAGCTCCGTCGCATGAGCAGTCGATTGCCACAGAAATTCGACTGGAGAGAACGTGGTGGCGTCACTCACGTGCGTAGTAAGTTATTATAAACTCATTAATTTTATATTTTTGCCAGACGAATGCTCTAGATGTGGCTTTAGAAAAAAAGGCAACTTGAAACAAGAAGACAAAAAGTTAAAACAAAAAGTAGCTGGGCATTAAGTATTTTGTGTCTATTTTTTCACAATTCACAACCAAAAAGAGTTACGTTACCACTGAAAAAAAAAACATTGACCATACAAGAAATGTGTTCGATCGTTTTCAATTAGACAGTTTTACAATTATCATTATAATAAATCATTATGATATATTACATACATTTGTCTCCATTTTCAATTTATATTGAGTACATCCGATTGCATTTATTTAAAACGTATCCAAAACTATCCATCTGTTTGTAATAAGATGGATGACATGGTTGATATGGAAATAAGGACAGTGTAATCTCAACTTGCAGATCAAAGTTTATGTTCTTCGTGCTGGGCTTTTACGGTAGTAGGCGCTGTAGAGGGAGCTCTGTTTGCAAGAACCGGCCATCTGGTGCCACTCAGCGAACAAGTCCTCTTGGACTGCGGCCACCGGTCAGTATTCTAATATAGAGTCGTACTAACTTTTAGACGTTTTTAACTGTAAATATTGTCATATATTGTACAGGTCCGGGGCCAAAGGATGCGGACCGACTTGGCCAAGGTTTGCTTACGACTATATTCGGGACAATGGACTGCCAGCGCTTGACGAGTATAGTCCCTACGTAGCCAAGGTAATTTGATGTCATTGACATTTACATTCCAACTAATTTGTGGTGATTTCTTAATCGGATGAAACTAGTGGAAATATTTGGGCCTTGAGGCCTTGACTCAGTGAGTCAGGGCCTCCATTATTGAAAATAATCATTAGTCAAATTATTCTAGTAATACCACCAATTTGGATAATATACACTTATATACCCCCTTCAAAAAGATACTCTCTAATCCACCTAGTCCAGAATAGCTAGAGTTATTGAGCGGTATCTTTGGAAATGAGTATAGGTATACCTGTATCATACATCATGTAAAAAAAAAAACCGTCTTGATTTCTATAGGTGCAGGAATGTAATGCAGACCGCGTAGCGCCCGTGACTCGGATTAGCAGTCATGTCAACGTCACCAGCAAGAACTTACTCGCACTCAAGGTGAGCACCCTGGCCTCCTGGTCCACTGGGCCTGGTCTGTGCATCGGGATATTTCTCAACTGCGTTGTATTTGTGTACAGGTGGCGATCCGGAAGCACGGGCCCACGGTTGTACTCATGGATGGAGACACCTCCAGTTTACAGTTGTACAAAAAAGGTTTCTATCATGACGCTAAATGGTAAGTCTTAAATAACATTTTAAATACAATTGGTTAATAAAAATGGAGCTTTTGGAATTGTTAAAACAACGGAGGCCAAGAAATTTGCAGCTGAGAAGTTTAGAAGAGATGTTCACAGGTGACATATATAAAACATCTACATATGGTCAACTATATTTTAATCTAACAGACGTAATAGGAGCCTATTACTGTAAGATGGGACGGGAATTTAGTAGGGAGTATTTTGAATAGAACAGCTAAAAAGAGGGCGGGCTGCAAGTAAAGTGTTTATACAGTTGAATTGGGGAACGTGAGTAATACTCGTACTTCAAGCAGGTCAGGGTCATACAGAAATAAATCAGAGATTTCTACCTTGCATACAATTTCAGATCACATAATAATATTTGTCCGTGTGGTGACGGATTAAGAATACGGACTGTCACCACCCCCAATCATCCCGTGGGTGTCGTAAGAGCCGACTAAAGGAGCAAACTACGCAGGACGACAACACTGCAAAAAGAAGGAAAACTTGACACAACCCCTATCCTCTCCCTATGGGTACCCGTCTGGCCAGCATGGTATTGTAGGCCAAACCTCCTTTCTAAGGAGAGGCCTATGTCCAGCAGTGGACTGTTATAGGCTGTTGATGAATAATATTTTATTCCTCTACTTACAAAGCAACACCTTACATCGCCTTATATTACTTTAATAATAGTTTTGAGTAGCTCATTTAAAGTTTTGTGTAATCCAAATAACTATACGTCACATTTTCAGTAAAAAGAATAGTTCGTCCCACGCTATGTTGGCTGTGGGATGGACTGTGCACCGAGGTGAAACTTACTTCATTCTGAAGAACTCGTGGAGTGTCGGCTGGGGTGAGGAGGGCTACATATACATGCGTGGTGCAACAAACACGTGTGGTCTGCTGCGGCTGCCTTCGTACCCAGTTCTGCAACGAAACAACGTGCTGCGTATACCTTCCTCAGCGCGCTCAGCCGTTGCACCAGTCAAAACCTCCGAATTAGCAAGAATGAGCAAAGCATTTTTTGTTATATGACGTGTGTTGAATTAAGGACACGAGTGTGTGAACTAGTTGACAATAAAACATGAATTTAATACGTTGTTACAATTAAATCATATTTTTATTTATTTGTGCAGATTCCTTCTTTACAGGCTGAATTTTATTAAAATTATGTTTTCATCTGTATCAAAATGGAGGAGGTTCATAAGGCGACTGAATATAAATGTCACTTATAAATATCAATTATTAACGAATTTCAATTTCTTTAAATTCATTTTTGTAGTTACAAGTTAAACAAAACTCCCGCACTAGGAATATATCATGTGTCGCGAGGGACTTTACAAACATACATAAAACTGACACAAAGAACACCTAGACTTAGAACGAAAATTTGTAGATCATACAAAGTCCCATGTGGGAATCGATACCACGACACTCAGCGTGGTAGGAGCGGCGTTGCGACCGCTTAAACCACTACGTCATTCGTGCTGTCAAAAGTCATAAGTGAAGGAAGTACATTTGAAAAAAAAAAACCGATTGCGCACCACTGTGGCCAATCATCCGCCAATGTATATCATAGCCCTGTATACACAATGGCGATGGCTTGCCGTGACCCAATATGTACTGGGCCTTAGATTTGCCTCTGCTCTGTATAGGTTATTACTTATTTTAAGATTGCGATTAACTTGGGAATCGAATACCTGTCTATTCATATACACTTTGACGTAAGTTTATAGAAGGTATAAGGTAAAAAAAATTAGGTAAAATGCCGCTTGAATGTAGTAGTAACCAGTTTGAATTGATATTACATATTTATAAGATGTAACAGAAACGAAATAAATGCCTACTGGAACCGTCTCTACTAGGTACTACGTAACTACTTGTAACGGGGGCTTTACTAAAGTTTCTGATATGTAAAACTGCAGTAACATTCTTTAAATCTTAGGACAAGTAAATTTATTGATTTGTGAGATTACCTATACAAACTTCCACCCCTGTTATCATCCCTAAAGGAATGACTAATTGGTTAAAAATGCATAAACATTCTTTATTTCTAACGAAAAGTTAAATGTTAAATTTCTTATAGTAATTTTTTACACCTTTAAGAGATGATTTCGGGGATGAAAAAAGTTACTTCCCTCCCACAAATCAAACTGTCTCTATACGTAATTTCATCTAAATCGGTTTAGCAATTATTGATTCCCCGTACAAACTTCCAAACCCTTTTTACATCCTTAAGGGATGATTTCGGGCATAAGAACTATTCTGTATGCTTACCCACAACTTAAACAGTCTTCATACCAAATTTCATCTAAATTGGTTTAGCAAATATTGATCCCCCATACAAACATTCACCCCTCTTTTCACCCCCTAAAGGGTGGTTTCTAGGATAAAAACTATCCTATGTCCTTGCCCGGGACTCACACTATCTCTATACCAAATTTCATATAAATCGGTTCAAGCGTGAAGTGGTAACAGACAGACAGACAGATACAATTTCGCATTTATAATTATATTATTTATTAATTAATTATTATTATTAATTATTTATTATTCATTTATTTTTAATTATTGTGTATATTATTATATTAGTATGGATATTGGAGGATCGCTCTAGTTAAGTGGTAACCAGATATAGATTGTCGTTGCCGCGAAATAGATAAAAGCTTTAAAAAAACCGGTATTATTGATATATTACTCGTATTACATATTTGTTCTTCCGTTGTTAATTATAATAATAATGTGGAATTAATTATGTAAATACATTTTTGTAGGAATCATTTAAAGAATTATTCTACGTTGTTTCATTGATTTTCCTGGTTTGACCTCTTAAATTTAAATTTAAAAAATATCAAATAAAGTTATAACTTCATTCGACGTCACTACACTTTAGTAGTTCAACAACAAACCACATGAACCACTGAACAGATAAATGCCTATAATTGGATTTTATTTAATTAAAGTTAAACAAAATGTTTTATCCAGACATAGTCTTAGTATTTTATGTGCTAGCAAAGAGCTTTATTACTCAGTTATCCCGGCAATTGACTCTAAAATCGTTCCAATGATTACTGAGAACAGCATTGCTTTAGTACTGGTCATACCAATATGACCTTGACTATCCAAAGGTTACAGGTTAAAAGCCTCTTAACATGATTCCACAACTGGTAGTTACCTTAATGCTACTAGGGTAATAAGACTACTTACATAATAATGTAATAGTATAGGCCTTGTTTAACAAGGATTATGTATAATCACTTCGTATCTAGTAAACAAATTGTGCTCACTTAATGTCTATGTTCTAATAACTTCTTCGATTATAACAGGATCATTATACGGGTACGTGACCGAGCTACTGTGTCCCATTTCCAGTCAGAGATTTGAAGTATTCCTTACCCTAGCTAAACGAGCAGACGGTTCACCTGACGGCTCATGGACGCCTGCAGCTCCAGGCTCATGAATGCCTTGCCACTCTTTGAGTGCTCCAGCACTGGAATTAGGGAATCACACTCTGTAAAAGGCAACGAAATATTTACTTGACAGCGGTTTTCTGTGATACCATTATCATCCAATTGAGTCGGCCCAAATATGTTAAAGTATGGTTCTCCCACGTAGATAGCTATCTAGTTAACAAAAAAGTAGAACATAATCAAAAACTTGACCGTACTTAACCGTGACATTTTAAAGTTAATAATATTATGGATTTGTCAAGGTTTGTGTACGCAAAATCTCTCATCTACGAACCACGAGACTATGCACCTTAAGTTTAGCAAGTTTAAGTTCAATAATCTACAGCAAACGAATAAATTATGACGTGTTACAAATCAAGATGACATAACAGGGCCTTCTTTTTCATTATTATTAAATAATTCAATAGAAAAATAACGTCTGTATCCTAATGTGAAAAAGAAATAGGACTTCTTTCATTGTTCGCTTAGATACTCCATAATTTGTTATTTTGACCCCAAACAAAAACCCAAAGCCATTACCTATGTTCCTTTATACTCTTGTCAGCGAACGTAAAACACTGTTTCACTGTTGTATATACTTTTAAGGCCCTAAAAGAACCTCGTACATTCGTATTCCGTACACCGAACGGTTACAAACTAATTTTCCAATGAGCCAGTCACATATTTCCATTATTCTTTTTTTTACGTATCAAGCAATGTTTGTGTTGTAAGTTCAGAGAGGTAAACTGGATTGGCTTGAACCACAGCTACTCGATAGTATGTCCAATATATATAGATACCACCGTTTGATCGATTTCGGTCCCATAATTTAGAGGGGCTCAATAAGGCCTTAGAAGTTTGTGAAACAGCTTCGATAATTGCAGTCTGTCGAATCTTTAAGCCGAGCTTCAAACTTTTAAAAATAAAAATGAAATTATTGACAATAAAAATACAGACTCCGTGAAAATTGTACTTATACTTAAAATTTACAAACTTAGTTATTTTATGAACTGACCCCACTTGATAGGTTTTAAAGACAAAAAAAGTAAGGGATAAAAATGGTGCCAAAAATCTATCAAACCGTTTAAGCTTCAGAGCGTGCCAAAGAAATATAAGTACATATATACCTACACACACTCAAAAAATTTACTCTCCGTTTAACATAGTCAAATTAAAAACATTCAAAACAAACAGTCCACTGCTGGACATAAGAAGGAGCTTTTATACTAGCTTTTCCAAAAGTGTAACTGCCTTTAATGCACTTAAATCGTTAAGAAATATTAACAAGTTTTTATAACTTCATTGTTCACCCTTAGATGTCGTATTAAGTTACAATAGCTTAGTGGCAACGAATACAAAAAAAAACAGTGACACTCAAGGAGTGCCGACAGGTGGTACAAACTTAAAAAAAATAACATTTTTTTTTATTATAACAGGAAAAAAAATAGTTTTTTCGATTCGAAAAGTTCCGACATGAATATATTATGTATGTTGTACGTATATACACAATATATATTTATATTATATACTAGCTGTTGCCCGTGACTTTGAAATGCGCTGCCTTAGTGGGTTCATTTCCCGGACCGGGCAATTTTTTTCTGAGTTTTTGTGAAGGAAAAAAAGCATAAGGTACTTCTTGCATAGACAGCTACCTGGTAGTAAAATATTATCAAAATCTGTCCAGCCGTTTTAAAGATTACCCGGAACAAACAGACATATAGGATGACAGACTGACAAAAAAAAGTTAAAAAGGTTTTCAGGCATATGTACCGTGCAAATAACACAGTTATTTGCACGGTACATATGCCTGAAAACCAGTTTAATTTTCAGAGCATGAAAAAAGCATTTATTTTGTCATAACAAACAGACACTTCAAATTTATTTATTTTTATAGATATAGATAGCTACATTATCAATGTATTTCAACACAACCTCAACTCTCGTGTAAACGTTGCCAATATATGTAGATACTTATATACAGAGATGTCGGTAACGGTAACAGTGTCGCGAGTTCAATGGTTTTTTTTTCATTCAAAAAAACACATTCTTTCGATTGTTGTTCAAAATGCCCAACGCGCTTTAATAAGTTTTCACTTCAAAAATACAGAAAAAAATATCGAATTAATGTCAGCCTTGTTTGATATCGATTAAATATCGAAAATGAACTTGATACTGCCACTCCCAGCAGCTATCTTTTACCACGAAATAACTCACTAACTGTATTAAGTAAACCAACGGCTGAAGTAATGAACTTACCTAAAACCATCTCATGTAGGCCTCTCGATTATCCCGCCAACTTCGCAGATGAGTTAGGGCGGGGGTTTATCAGGGGTCTGACTGTTTCGGTCCGTATGTTGAAGGCTACGGGGTGCGATACGCTCATTTACGGTAATACTTCTCCCATCAAGCCTTTTTGATGTGCTAAGAAGGTAAATCAGGTGCTTTTGATCCGAGATTGTATGCTAACGATGGCGCTACTGTGTAATTATTAAATTTTGGGGGTAGCTCAAATTTTTATACGGTTCTGATAGATTTCGCTTAGTCGAGAATCAAATTAAATTACGGTCTTTTATATTTGGTAAGGAT